TATAGACGCTGTTTTTGAATGAAATGCTCATATAATCGTTGAATTTAGATTAACAGCATTTATGAATGAGTGCTTTGGATAGTATAATATAAGAGCTACAAAATGCTTTGTTTAGATTTTTTCTATGATTTTTTTCTCGTAATGGCGAGCGGTTAAAGAAACAACAAAAATGTCGTAATTTTTGTTTTGACATTCGCCCCCTTATACAGAAGGAAAATATGTTAACATAATTTTAATATACACTATTCAACAGTGCGTAAAAATACCTTTCAAATGAGTCTTCGCAAAACTCCGTAGTTCATTTCCAGCCGAGATATGGAGTTTCAAACTTAGAGTCGTTTTGTTCTCGGGTGGGCAAAGATTATTGGGCGGGAGTGTATGTTATCATGTAATTTATGTATATTACGTTGGATTAAATAAATAAATATAAAATAAAGAAATAAATTAATTGTTTCATTATCAACTACACCTGTTGCTATTTAGATGAATTTTTCAGTGAAAGAAATTATGATATTCGAAAAACGTATTAATTTTATTCATGTCAGCCACATCTCTGTTCACTTTGGCTTTCGAAATATCAATATGCTGCTCAGATGTTTCATAATTACCGTTAGTAAAATCTTCCATTTGATCAACAATGTCAGCTAGAGCTACCGAGGAAACTATCCATTCTATTATCCAAACTATCCACGGGATCCATTATTTTTTTTAACTGTAGCATTTACTGAAGATCCAATGCAGATATTTTGTATATGATGTGTGTCTTGCAGCATGTAAATATGGATACATTTGCTGTACAGATTGCAAATATAACGGCCAATCTCCAGTTCTCTCTGCCTCAACAAAGTGCTTCAAAACTTCAACCAAGCCTAACGATAACTGAACTTATTTTATACTAAAAATCGGTGCCTTTTATGCAAACCATAATCTCTTGAGCTTTTTGGTATTTTGGGAGATCAAAAGTAACGAATATATGCTTTGACCGCGAGTTATTTTTGACTATTGGTAAGATTTTTCATCAGCGCACAGCTCCATGAAGCCATTCCAACGAACTGTTTTCTCTGGGTTTATTTTTTTTTCATAAACCTACATGCAGTCTTTAATTTTCATAACTGGATACGAATATGCTGTGTAGTATTTACATGATCAAGTAAAATAGCATTTAGTCCATCAATATTTCTTCTAAGAAATGGTTTTCATGTTAAAAGACCGAGATTGTCAGTATTGCAAGATGGAGATTTGTCTTTCAGTAGCTTTGTTACTCTATCTACAACAATATCTTTCACGAGCATAGCACATATAATACCACCTGTAATAACGAAAGTACTTCGTCTATCAAACGTGTTAGTATTATGATCGGCGATGTCGAAAATAAATTGTAAAAAACTTTTATGCTCTCTACTTTCTTCAATGCTATCTTCGAATAATAATGTCTCACGGTAAGATTCATAAAAACCAAAGTATACGAGAGAATCAATTAAATTTCGCGATGCATATTTTTTGTATATACTTATGGATAGTCCAAGCATAAGTGGAGATATATACACACATAGTCTCATTGATGAAACCAAGCAATGGGTAAACATCAATACTCGGTTGTCCCACTTTTTATTATTAATTTTGGACTTCTTGTGGCTTTTGATTACTATTTCTAAAAACAATTTCAAGAAATGTGGGCATTACTCTTCAATGCTATCTGAAACATAATGAGAAGCTGGGGATATTCATCGGTTGTATAGTATTTCTCACGTGTTTCATTTAAAATTATTTTTGATGCACTTTTTACTATTTGTTTTTTGAATTCCAAATAATCTTTTGTTTGATTTATTTTGTCGATCTATCCTTTTCGGAGAATTTGATTTGTGTATTTAATAAAACAAAATTGACAATCACCTTTGTAACTATAAGTAGATATATCATTTCTAAAATATGATTCTTTTGTATCTCTCATTGTCGGCAAATCGAAAATTTCTTCAGATTTCGTAATATTTTTTAAATTCAGCAATTAATTCTTTCAAAGAAAATTGTAATGATATTATTCTGAATTTTGTTCAACGAAACTGATTATGAACTCAAGCAAGTTTGTATTCGATGGGTCAGCCTGGCGACCAAAAATATTAGTTAATATTTATAATGGTAAATAATGTTTTTTTCATGAAAATCAATTATGCAAACGTTGATATTTCGTCGCGCTACCCCAAGTTAAAAAAAAAATGAAGAAAATCGGTGCAGTAGTTGCTGAGATAATAAAAAATTTCGTCCGGTTTCACTTTGAAGGCGCGTGACAAGTTTTTGTGCGGCTTGAGCACAACCTACAGTCTCTCTTCCCTCACCACCGGATTGCGCGCTCATGGTCCATGGCCGGAATTTTCTCTCTTGTAGAGTACAAATTCTTGGATGGTTTTCAATTCTATTAACGAGCTGATATTGTTGAAGTAACTTCACCTTTCGCTGAAGATATTGATGAAAACTGCATTGGAAAAACTTAGTAAATAAAGCCATGAGAGTTTTTTGAAAAAAGTCTATCTTTGCTCCTGTTACACTTAACGAATTCATTTTTTTGGTAAATTCGTCAAAAAATTGAAGCTTTGGGAGGGTATTACTTACCAATAATAATCGCTTTTAGAATGGACGCTATTCAATTTGTTAATTAAGCTATTTCCAGCACACGAGATGTGTTCAAAAAGTAAGGTGACTTTTCAAATTTCACGGGCAACGTACTTTCGATTATCGATTTTTTTGTTTTGTTATGTTAGTACACTCTTCCTGAACATCTGTACCAAGTTTCAAGTGTATAGCATTTTTTGTTTGGTTGTGAAAGGCGTAAAGGTTATAAGTGTTTGCGTGCTCGGCGATTTCTTGCTATCGAAAAATATGGATCAAAGGGTTTGCATCAAATTTTGTGTAAAAAATAAAATAAAGTGCTCCGACACACTTGAAATGTTGACGGTGGCATACGGTGAAACTGTTCTGAGTAAAAAAAATGTTTACAAGTGGTGCAAACTCTTCTAAGATGGCCGGGAAGATGCCAATGACGAGCCTCGCTCTGGACGCCCAAGCACGTCAACAACTGATGAAAACGTTCAAGCAGTGAAGAAAATTGTTCTGGAAAATCGTCGAATCACTATCAGAGAAGATGCTGAGGATGTTGGTATATCGCTTGGCTCGTGCCAAGAAATTTTTTCTAATGTTTTGGGCATGAGACGTGTGTCAGCGAAGTTTGTTCCGAAATTGCTAAATTTTGACCAAAAGAACCGTCGCATGAGCATCGCTCAAGAACTGTTGAATGACGTCAACGACGACCCAGATTTACTCAAAAGGGTCATAACTGTTGACGAATCATGGGTATATGGTTATGATATCGAAACCAAAGTCCAATCGTCCCAATGGAAGAGCTCAGATGAGCCAAGACCGAAAAAAGCACGCCAAGTTCGATCAAATGTCAAAGTTTTGCTCACTGTTTTCTTCGATTACCATGGCGTGGTACATCAGGAGTTCTTACCATATGGACGTACGGTCAATAAACAGTATTATCTTGAAGTTATGCGCCGTTTGCGAGAAGCAATACGAAGAAAACGCCCAGAATTGTGGAAAAACAATTCATGGCTTTTGCATCACGATAATGCCCCTGCTCACTCATCTTTGCTTGTGAGAGATTTTTTGGCCAAAAACAACACCACAATCATGCCTCAGCCACCATATTCACCGGATTTTGCCCCATGTGACTTTTTCTTGTTCCCAAAACTAAAGAGACCTATAAAAGGACGGAGATTTACAACGATTGAAGAGATAAAGACTACATCGCTGGAAGAGCTCAAGGCTATACCGAAAAGTGCTTATGAGAAATGCTTTGAGGATTGGAACAACCGTTGGCATAAGTGTATTGTATCTGAGGGGGATTACTTTGAAGGGGACAACATAAATATTCATAAATAAATAAATATTTTTTCTTAAAAATACAAAGTCACCTTACTGTTTGAACACACCTTGTATACTTTAGAGCGTCTTTTGAACATTTTCAATTATATAATTAATCGAGAAAATAAGTCTACGTTAAAGTAGAAGTTTCAGCGAAAATGAAGCCTTTACAATAATTTATACGACACCACTAATCGCAAGAAATTAACTTTTAAAAGAGTCTCTTTTTTAATAACAATAGCTTTTACAAGAACAGTTTTCAACATTTTTTTTCGAAATTTATCCCATTACTTCCTCTCTTCAAAACGTTTAGTTTAAAGTGAATTGGAAAATCATACTTTACAAATTGTCAAAGTTGTTAGTCAATCAACAAATGGTTGAATTTAATGATTTTTTTTAGATAAAATTATTTAATCAATTTTTACGCGTGGCCATTTAATTTAAACCCCCTTTTAGCGCCGAAAATGGTAAAAACTATGTAGCTCTACATATAAGAGTTCCTTATTAAAATCTACAAAACCTCTTTATTCACCTGTTTTTTGTTATTTGTTTATTGTTGCTGTACTTTTCTTTACTAGTTCATACTAGACAAGCGCTACAGAAGTACTGATTAGGAATTAGAATTTTACTAAGTGCTTTAAGTAGTGCTTGGAAAAAGCCACAAAATGGTTTACTTCATAATTTTGTACGAGTTGATTTATGATATAGTCCGGAGATGAGATGAGCAAAAAAGGTTTGAATTTTCAAAGTTGGATATATCGTTACAAAAAATTAGAAGATCGTATCAATTGTATTTTACAGTCATATCATAAACAAAATCTTGAAAAAACCTTTGAAAATACACCCAGACTTACTTTGATACATTCATTTTTCACTGAGATACCAAACTTTTAATTTTTGAATAGAATAGTTTAAAATAACATAGTAATAAAATTTTTTTGAAATTGAGGACGATATTCTTGGATGAAGAACTATAATTTATATTGAGAACAACGTTAATTATTATTGAATTCAAGAATTTCTTTATTATGAAAAGGTTAACTTATGATTCATGTAAAAATATAAAAATTATAATTTCTCACAGATTCGTTGAAGTTTCTTTTATATTCGGGTTGATCATAAGGATAATAAGGATCACGAAGTGCTACGCCTTTGTATGGTAGGTTTGGATAATCGCCATATCCAAATCCGTCATCAGGGTAAGGTTTATATTCTTCAGGATGTAAATTATATTTTTTTGCGGCGTTGATACATTCTTCTTCAGTTTTTGGATATGGTCCAGGTAACCAATCTTTATTCCAATCTGTAAATGAAAAGGCGGATTGAATTTCAACATACTGTTTAAAAAAGCGTTATATTTAGATGAAACACTTTCGAGCTATTCGCGAATGAATTTATGCATTTTTGGTTCACGTGAAAATTCATTAAGGTAGTTATCCCCCTACTACACTAGTCATCACGTTCGACTCGCATTTGACTGTCGTAGTTGCTAGAGATTTGACAACGCTACGAAACGAGAATTAAAAGAGAACAAAAGGTATAATAATACCATAGAAGCTATTGCCAAAAGAAAAGGATTTTTTTTAAGACCTTATAAAGTAGATTATGGGCTTTACCTGAGACTATATACACGATAAGTTAAAAAAACAAGATTAAAATAAACTTATCTGGTAGAGGTCTTACAAATATCAACTTGATGAAGTACACTAAAATTTGAAACAGCAAATTTTCGCAGTGTATTTATGAGAAATGATTTGCCAAGTTCTGGACCACGCTACTGTGAAGCAACAATAATCAATCTGGATGACGTTAATAAACAACAAACACTCTAGTTTACTTATCATAAAATTATAAAAAGAACGTCACATCCTTTGATAGTTTCGATGTTCTTATACCTTTCAGTTTAATGATGTATATAGGAAATTACGTACAATCTCAACAGATATCAAAATTTCGATACCTACATCTGTGGTCATCTTTGCCTAAAGATTCTGTACAGAGGTATATAAGTAAAGACAATTTTACATGTCCAGGCCACTCGGCCTGATTGCAGGGATACCTTGCTTTGTTTTTTCTCTTCTTTTCCTCTTTTACCATGAAATCTCTAATTTGGATGTTTTCTTGCCAAACCAGTTGGTCGAAGGAAAGAAATGTGTGACGTCACTGTTTGGCAAACACAAAGTGTAAATATTTAGGGTTGGGTTCTATCCCTACAATGTAATTCGACAACAAGTTGAATTACATTTCTGATTGTTAAGCAAGTTTCAGCTTTCATATCGAATCATGTATTCACGTCACACCTTTCACCCTTGTTGCAACAATTTTGCGTTTGGGAGAGACACCACCTGGGCCAGTTTTACCTCCTTCCCTTGAACCTAATAAAAGGATCAAAGAATGCTCTTGTGCTTCAGCCCTCAATATAAAAAAGGGTGCATCGCCGGTCCTCGTCGTTTTCTAACAGTTGACCGGCCTAGCAGCAGAAATCTCTGGATCACATTTACGAAGCAACCTAGTCAAGGCGATATCAAGGCACATATAGAAAGAGACCTCCAAGATGCAGGTATAAAGAGGTCAGTACAAATACGAAAACAGTACGAGAAAAAAACCTAATGTAGTTTCCTTGTGGCAGTAACCAATAAATTTCAACCTATTTACAATCCACTTTATTGCAACGCCAGCAATCTATCTTTTTTATTTTACTCCGCATCTTAATCACTTGAGTACGTAACTCAGGAAAAGACGCGATTGTATACAGCATAATGGTCCTTCGTATTTGAACTGTCATAAAGAACTTATTCATTTAACTCTTACTGATACATCGCCAGTGCTAAAAGTGCATTATGATTTTTCATCAATTGAAGTTTCATCGTATCAAAATTACCTTCTAGGTTTAATTGAACTTTTAACATTCAACTCAATACTTAACGTTAAGGCAACGCACAATATATTTTATATTGGTGAAAGTGTAACCACTATATCTACGAGTAGCTACGAGCTTGACGACATTAATATATTTCTTCAGAAGAACTTTAAGGAACATCATAATGCTGTAAACTTCAAGGCGAATAAGAATAAGTTACGTTATATAATTAAAAGTGATCCCTATCCATCCAGAATATTTCATCAAGACTTATGCACTCTACCATTTCACTGTTCATTACACATTTGTGGATGATTATGCATAAGAAATGATAATAATTTGCAGTTAACAAATACTAGATTTGTTAATAATGCTATTTGTCATCTGTTTGATATGAGTTAAATGCTATAAAAACTGATAAACATACGAATTTCCTCTATCAACTGTTATGAAAATTTGGCTATCTCTCACTCCAAATCCAACTTTGATGGTTGAATATATTGGCCGAGTAGACATAGAAAAAAATCGCATACTTGTCGATCAATATAGTAACTTTGATATCTTAATAATACTGAGCTTTAATCTCAGATTTTATGAGGGCTAACGAAATACACTAGTAAATATGAAGCATAAATTAATTTTCATAGGATAGAGTACTGACGTTAATCTCGCCTATCAAATACTAAAACGAGTCAATGATATGGATATTTACGAAGATTTTAAGGTTGATATAAAGCATTTCGAATAGCTTATGCTATACGCGACTGTATTGAATGCGAATAAAATTGGTCTGCTTGATTTTTTAAAAAAACAAAGAAGCATTTCAATGCTTTTTTATAGTTGGGATTTAACCCAATAACCAAATTCTACATATAAATAAAAACCATATTTGAACCGTCAAGACAACAAATTGACAGATAAAACCACTGTACTTTCGTAACTTTACTCTCCAAACAACTAAAAGCAACGACGTTGATACATGAGATATACGTGTGCACATGTGTGTGTCTTTGAGTGTATGTGCATGAGGTGTATGTGTGTGTGTGTGCGTACGCGCGCACGCGTGTGTATAATTGTAAATTCGTGAAGCTATATATAACAACATGTACTTTTTTAAATTGCATTTGTAAAATTCTATCAGTTTTTTACAAAATTGTTAGTATGTTGCATAATTATATAGTGATTATTAATAGCTACATTCGTTTTCAAATAAATTAAATGGATGTATGAATCGGCACAACTATCGATATTGGTGAAATGATAATCCAGATTGGATGCACGAAGATACTACATAATACCTTCAGAAATTAAATGTACAGGCTGGAATTTTAAATAATAGATTGATAGAAGCATTCTCTATTCAGTCTAATTTAACAGCTGCAACTGCTTCGAAATTACATGACTCATGCAATAAAAGAGATCATATATTTTGAATATATATGGTGTTAGGCCACATTTTGAACTATAATATATACAATATGTGGATGTAGTAAATTCTGTTGTTTTCTTTAGGGTGTCCGATTAACGCGAGTCCCCTTGTCTATGTTAATTGGAATGATGTCTGGCCGGTTAAGGCGAGACATGCTAATTTTTTAGTTATATTTTTTATTTTTATTTTTTATTTTTATTTTTTACCTTATCAGTAAAGGCAAAGTAAAAAATCTCTTAGAAATTGTCAGTTATTGTTAAAGTTCTTGTTCGAAATGTCCCATTTCATAGTTGACAATGTAATGTGCGATCATAAAATGCTGACACTTATCTTTAAATCTTATCATTCGGGATCGCCTGAATCGTGTCAACAATGCGTTGCCGTGATTTCTCTAATATTTAAAATTTTGCAGAGCTCCGGAAATTTTGAAAACATTTTCAAATGTTTAAAAACTTGCTTTTATCCAAATTCTTGCATGTTTGTAATTTTTGCAACTTTATGAAGTTTTATTTGCAGATTTTTCATACTACGCATGTTTACGCGAATTTGCGCATATTGCAGTTGATCTCGAAATAACCTTGTAGGTTATGCTCAAGGTGAAACCTAAGGTTACTGACAAACGACCGTTTCAAATTCCTAAAAGTTTGAAGTGATTGAAGTTTTTTTTCTAGTAGCCTTATTTTCCGAGATATTCAGATGTGTCCATACTTTTGGGACACCCTGTATTCATCGGTAATAGCTATGCACAAGTGAAGTTTCACGTGTCGCAATCCCTAACAACCACCCGTCCACCCCTTTAAAATGTTGGACTGCAGCAATTTTCAAAGTTTTATACAAGAGTTTTTTATCGCCAGGTTATTTTGGAACGAGCGATGATTTTTATTATATCCATCGGTAATACGAGGGGGTCAATAAGTCTTTACAAAAAGAAAGAAAAAAAAGTTTTGCGTATGTAATTTTTTTTTATTTTTGAACATAATCTCCTTGAAGGTCGATACATTTTATTAAACGGCCTTCCAGTTTTTTTAAGCCATCACAAAAATATGATTTCTGAAATTCCTCAAAATAGGCAATTGTTTCAGCGATGACTTCTTCATTCGACGTAAATCGTTGTCCGGCAAGCTATTTTTTGAGGTTAGGAAATAAGAAAAAGTCCCTGTGAGCCAAATCAGGCGAAAATGGTGGATGGTCAATTAATTCGAACTTTAAATCGTTAATTTTTGTCATCGAAACTGCACACGTGTGAACTTGAGCATTGTCTTGAAGAAAGAGGCATTTTTTTTTGTTCAAATGAGGACGTTTTTCTCTGATTTTTTCTTTCAGCTAACCTAATAATGACGCATAATATTGTCCAGTGATCGTCTGGCCCTTTTCCAAGTAGTCGATGTAGATGGTTCCATACGCATCCCAGAAAACCGTGGCCATAATCTTGCCAGCTGACTTTACTGTCTTTGCCTTCTTTGGGGCTGGTTCTCCTGCGGTAATCCATTGTTTGGACTGTTCTTTGGTTTCAGGAGTGTAGTGGTGTACCCATATTTCGTCTACAGTTACGAATCGATGCCAAAAGTTCTCCGGATTACGATATATGCGTGCCAAAAGAGCCTCAGAGGTGACCATGCGGGTTCGTTTGTTTTCAACACTGAGCAAACGCGGCACCCAACTTGCTGATATTTTTTTCATTCCCAATTTTTCATGCAAAATTGAAATGATTGTACCCTTTGATACCCCTGTGGCCTCAACTAATTCTCGCAGTTTTAATCTTCAATCACTCAACACCATATCGTGGATTTTGTTGACCATTTCGGGCGTACTCACTTCTACGGGGCGTCCTGAACGAGGTTCATCTTTTGTTGTTGTACGGCCGCGTTCAAATTCATTTACCCAGTTATAAACAGTCTTAAACACAGGGGCATACTTGCCATAAACGGTATTCAACTCAACTGTGATTTCTTTTGGTGTAAGGCCTTTCAAATGAAAATGTTTTATAACCGCTCGAAACTCTGTTTTTTTTCAT